CTTACTTGGATGGTGGCCTTTGTCTCATGAATGTTGGCCCCGTATTAAGCAATCGCAGTTCTTCTTCTTTTCATCGGGGGTGTTCCCCTCCAAAAGTGATGATTCCCTACTAAACCCAGGGATACCCCCCTATTAATAAACTGGGGTTGGCTGGGCTGGCTCCTAGCTGTTGATGGCTGCAGTGCCAGGAGCGGCCAATTAACGTTGGGACCCACCGGCCCCGGGCCGAAACGGCCTCAGACTGGGGCTACGAGACTTGGGAAAGTTTTCTTACGAACTTCTACGAGCAGCCCTGGATTTGTTGACCGCTTTGGTTGACAGCTGCAAGTAGAAAGCAAGCGTCCGTTCCTGGCGCTGATACAAACCTTAGCCACTCCAAACCTCAACTTTTGGGTGGCAAGGCATTGCCACGCACTCCAGCAATGGGTTCGCACGATTTGGATGGCCGAGCGCACCAGACAGAAACCACACAGCCTCTAAATTGAAAACAAACCACCCGGTCATTCTGTGCAGCCTGGGCACTGGGCAGCTGCCTTGGTGGCAAGTACTCGAAATTCTCAAGGCCACCCGAGGGGGACCTGAGCGGCTTGTCGCGAAGCGAAATCAAAGGCCGCGGTGAAAGAAATGATGCCGGAAACGCAAAAGCCAAAATTTGCCGTGGGCAAAGGAACCCTGCTTCAATGAAATCGGCAAACCTAACCCTGGACATCACCCGCCGGGCTTGAGCCATCTCTGAACGTATTACAGCAATCTTGCGTGTGCTTTAATCACGCCTGCCCGCTGGACTTCCCATCTCGCCACTCTCATTTCGCTTGTAACCAACGGACCATGGAAGCAAAACTCTCAACCGGCGTACCTTGTGGCATCAGGTGTCAAAACAGATTAACATGCCAACATTGACCAACATGGGTGGGTCGAGTTGGGTGCGACGCTATATGACCTCAAGTCGACTCGCCCGAGTAAGAGTTGACTCAGCCCAGCGGCAGCACCTGGTCAATCGCCCAGGCCGTGCCATTCCACACCTGCGGTGATTGAAGCACGCCTTCCAGACGCATTCCCGTGTCAAAATGACCATACCTGCTGGGATTTCAGCATCGTTCGAACGGACCGGAAAACATATCCTTCAAAGGCCCCATGAAATTCAAAAAACAACACCTCTTGATCAAAATCAAGCATCATAGAAGCTCATGAAGGCATGCCGAGTTCTTTCCGTGTGGCCTGCCCACTAAAGGGCGAGGACTCATCAAACCAGGGTCCGAGGCCCATGTTCTCAGGAAAGGCAACTTACACTGCTACTCCAAGACAAAAGGCTCCGATCCCAAGTGGCGGTTTTCACATTTTAATCTCAGCCCCTTGATGTTTCAGGCGTCATTTGTTGCCTGGCCGATTCCAGAGCATGTAACAAAGTTCGTCATATTCTCCATGCTTGCAAACTTGCATCCAACAATCTCCAAGCACAGCTCTCAATGAGCCAATTTAATAATTAGAAATATTAGAACTTGATTCAAGGCCATAAGGGCAGTCATTGCAACCTACCAGCAACTCTGAGTCACATCTTTCGCCAGGGATGCCTCCAGAGCCTGGGAGCTGCCAGGGAAAAGCTGCGCCACGCGGACCTCGCGACCGGCCAGCGTGAGAGAGGGGCCCCAGCCCAACAACGTGGCCCAAGACCTGGGAGCTTCTGGGCACGGATCATGGAATTCAGCTCACTTCGGGGTCTGACGAGAACAACAAAACCACTCTTGCTATGGGCGAACCAGCCCCCTTCCTCCAACTCCAGGCCAATGAGAGGGGCACCTGATAGATCGCTACCCTTGAGTGCTTATGCTGCCCGATCTGCCGACGTCCACCAACCAGGGCAAGACGCTGACACGCTGACACGAAAACAGTGCACCAACCCCCTGCTCACTCAGTTGAAACTTGCTTGAACAGTGACATGGTCCTTACTCTTGAGTCTTGAGCAGCCAGCTGCAAACAAGTGGCGCATCTCACAGACCAGCTGCGATTGAAGGCCTCAGAGTGCAGCCCCACAGCCACCATCTGCATCCCTGGTGGGAGTTTGGCTGCGCGGTGCGCGCAGTGCGCACATGTGGAACTTAGGGGAGGCCACTCGACATCTGCAGCCAGATGCGTCCAACCGAAAGGAAAAAGGAGCTCCGCATAGCACATGCAACCTTCCAGGTTCCCCACGGCACCAGCCCAGGCGTCGCCGGAGGCGGACCAGGCCTGCGCCAAACGCAACTGGTGCAAGTAATGCTTACAAAGGCTGTCAAACCATAGTCTGGGCTGGAATTGTTGAGCGTGCAGTGGATTTGGAAGCCCAGCGGCCCTTGCGCGTCAGGGTGGGGAGTAATTCACGCGTCCCGATCGGCTGTTTGGAAAAGCCTGGCTTGCCTGTGGCTTCAGGTTTGACCGTCAACCATGCAGGAGAACCGGGGCTGCCAAGAATGTCCCATCCCCATCCCCTTGTTGATGTGCAACTGGGGCCGCACATTTTCAACAGCGGCCAGTGCTTGTAACATTGCTCTGCTTGGTCAAACACTTCTCGAGGAGCGCCACAGTTTTGGCCGCCCCCCTGCGCGCCGTGGCGAAGTCCCCGTCGGCGAAACGACGCCACAGCTGCAGCTGGCCCTGGGAGGCCAAGGGGAGCCCAAACTCCGCCGCCTCCGTGCCTCGGGACTCGGTGGGTGTTTCGATCCATGAAACACCCACCCGGCCAGGCGGGGGCAAGAAACCTCAAACCTCAAAAACCCAGGTCTGGCAGTAGTGTGTGCAATCTGAAAACCTGCTTTCTTCTTCCCGTGTTCCTGTAGATGCCCGAACATATAATAGTGGGTACAAGTGCAAATGCTTGGTTTTAGTTTTGTTCTGGATATCCGTCGTGCAACTGATTCACAAGGTGAGTTCTCTTCACTGCAGGATTCAAAAATGAGCAAAGATGCACATGGGACGGCATCTGCATGCCGGTAAGCGGATCCGAGGGCCATGTCCGTTCTCTTCTGTGTTTTCCTGCATTGCACAGCACGGACCGAAGTAGCCGACGTGTCCAAAACAACGGATAAAGATATTTGAAAAACATCGTGTCCAAATAACCTGGACACGATGGCTTTTTGACTCAGAGCAGCGGTGCTTCCCTTGCTGCCTCGCGGCACAAGCTGTCCACAAAGAATTCCAGCTCATAGAGCGTCCAAGAGCCACCCTGCGCCCCGGCATATCGATTGTGCCATGGCATGCCCACATTCCTGATGCGCCATACAAGAAAGGCAAAGCCAGCTCCGTCATTCGTCGAACATCTAGTTGCAAAGGCATTTTATATGGCGACCCCGCGCGTAGTTTGTGCGAAAGGGTCTTCAAGCGACTGCCCGCCTCGGCTCCCCAAGTCAACCATCGCAGCTCCCTTATGAAACCCAGCAAATGGCCATTTCCCAAATCAAACGCTATCACAATGAGTGGAAAAACAATTTTTTTGGGGTACCTTGACCAGCTTGAGGTTTGGAAGGTCCACTTTTCGGGTCTGTTAAAAGGCCATAGGCAATACACCCCTCCAATCCCCTCCACACACCCACCGGCCATCCGCGAAGACACCAAGCCCTCTTCCTTAAAAGAGCCAAACACCCGCAGCCTGGCTCCGCAAGCGCCACTGCATTTGCGGCCCGCAGTGCGGGCGCACAAAGCCTCCTGAATGCTGCCACTAGCCCAGTAGCCAGGTGAATCCCATCCCAGCTGATCATTTCGCAACATCTCACAGCACAGTATTTTTGGGGTTCATCCATCCCAACCAGAGTAGAGTCAACCAGTTGAAACTTGTCACACTTCAGGATCAAAGATGATCAAAGTGTTCCTCGTAGGGCTGCGTAGCATGACTTGAGACTCCGGCGCAGTCAATTTCCGCGGCTAGGAATTTGTGTTCTAGCAGTTTGTACGTGTGCAATTTAACCGCTCCGGAGATGCTCTCTCATTTGCAGGATTCTAGGGGCAAAGGGTGCAAAAGCTGATGCGCCGATCCAAGAGGGCTAAACTTGATCATGGATGTTCAGTCCCGATTGATCTGAGGATGTCATCGTTTGAGTTGAAGGGGAAACAACAAAGCGAAAGCAGGCAATATAGAACTTGTTTGCAAGAAGCATGGGTTGTGCGCTTGTTTGTTGGTGTAGGCACACCCGTACGTTCTTGCCATAAGTAGATGCTTGGTCAGTGTGATTGGGCGCGTTCAGTCCAAAACAAACAGGTTCCACCAGCAAAGAAGAGTGCCCCTGGATCTGTGGCGCCCACACAGCTGGCTATGTGATGCCAAGGCGAGACCAGAATGAGCGAGCGGATCCCGCAGCCTTCTGCCACCGTCGCCATCTCCGAATTGCACACCTTGCGTGTTGCAACATGCAGCCGACACCATCCCAGCAAAGAACATGGCCAGCATTTGCAGGATTACCCCGTAAATAGAAGCTGGAGAAGATTGAGTCACTCTCTAACCAATCAAGCCCCTTGCAGGCACATACAAGCAGAACGGTTGCAAGCCCGCGGTGGACAACAAACTGCGATCGGCTTAGTTTCCTTGGTGTCCCCGATGTCTGCTGCTGCTTCACTTGTGATGAGGGTTTGTTGAATCACGGCTCGGAACATACGTAGCCCTCTCTGATTGCCAAGTCACCGCCTCTTGTGGCAGCCTGGAGTGCAAAGGCAAGTCAGGTGTATAGGAAAAGCAAACATTGGGCCTTGCTGGCTCATGCTCATTTTTCAGTTCAGGTCAAGACGTGTCAAACCCCTGTAAGCAGAGTGCATGGTGCAATTACTGTCTTTTTTGAAGCCTTCAATCTTCAAACGAAAAGGGGCCCATGAACAAGTGGCAACGGCTGCCAATGCCAACCCCTTTCAGCGACAGAAACTGGCAAAACGAGTCAGAAGATTGAAAATTATGCAGCATTATGGCATTGCAGCATGAGGATGGGTGTTGCAAGTTGCGCTTCATCCCACAACTGAAGTACAGTGTGCCCTGAACTAGGGACACATATTTCACATTGCCGAGTCCCATCGCACTTGTGCCATTACACTGTGGGAAATACGCTCGCTCATGCACGCCACCTAACTTTGCCCAAAAAGATGTGACCAAGCAAATGCATCATGACTGAGTGACAGTGCGCACCAATCCTGTGCTCCACCGCCTGCAAATAACCCCTCAGCTAATCGGTCCAAAAACTCTCAGAAAAGTATGCCGTCACTGAGGCCCCACCCGCAAGGATCACACAATTGCCATTTATCGAAACGCCATGTTCATGATGGGAGATGTGTGGGAGGGACGCGCATCAAGCGAACTGTGACCGTATCAAAATGACCGCCTCCCAAATTGAAGCCCAAGAAAATGGGGGGTGTGGCCGGAGAAGCCAACACCTTCCCAGCAAACCCTCGCTCAAGCCGCCTGAGCTGCACCACACCGGAAGAGAAGGCGAAGTGGCGCCAGGGCTGCCAGGCGCTGTTGGACCAGCGGTCCAAAGCCAGCTCCGCCTGCAAAAGCGAAGCGGAAAGAGGAATTCCCCCAAGTGGTTCTTTATATGAGGAAGGTCAAGCAAACTTGTACGCTGCTGAAAAAACTGACCGGGATGGCTGTGAAATGCATATCACGTTCAGATTTTGCCCCGTGTCCAACGCGACCAAACAGGCCATGAGAATCGCAGGGCCTTCTGCGCCGAAGAGGCTGAAAGCTCATGTTTCAACCCCCCAAACCCCTGCAACGTCCCTGTCAACCCGCGATCATGGCGTGCCCCTTGGTGCTGCAGCAGCAGGCAGCCCACCGGCGAGGGAGTGCTCCAGAAAGCCGCGAGCCACGCACCCTGCTGCCAGGACTCCTGGCTTGGGCGAGCGAGCTGCTTGCAGTTGAAAGGAGAACTCCTGGGACTTCCCAACGCGTCGAGTTGACATGGCGCATGGCCATCTAGATTTGCACCTTGGAAGCTGCATATTATTATGAGGTATGGTCTACGGGCAAATCGGGTGCTGGAATCCGCAGGCGGCCGGCTAAGAAACGCAAGTGTCCAGCATCCCAAAACTACGGCGAAGCTACTGCGCGAACCAAGTCACAAAGCCTCCAACCCATTGAATGAGGAGCCCCTAATTAAGAACAAACAAAACACCAAATCAATAGGCCAACTGGCAAACACGCCAATACCCTCCCTCCTGCTGCCCCCTGCCTGGCAAATCTTCCAGGAATCCACGCCGGGACTGCAGGCCCCCGTCCAACTGGTTTCGTTATCTCCGTCGAATGCCTGCTCGAAGCAGATCCGTGATTGCCGGACGATTCTTCTGCCAAAAAGAATGCTGCAACCAAGAAACGGGCTAGAACCTGCCCAAGGGCTGCCTGAGCCTGTGAAACAAACGATCCCGCGAAGGGAGGCATCAGCCAATGCTGGGAAGTTGGATTAAAGAGTTCAGACCTTGTTGTCGGTGGCCTTACCATGTCTTACCCACCCAAGTGCCACGTTAGGCTCTTGAAAATTGTGAGTAGCTGTGAGCCAATCGCAGTGAGATGCATTAAGTGCGCGGGCTGGACCAGGAGGCTGACCCGTCCGTGCCATTGGTTAAAAGCCATTGTCGGACAACGGCCGCCTGGAATTGCATGCTTTCTTGCCACAATCCACAGGGTGTTCTTTACGCCGAACGGGCACCTCGACCTTGAAGGGAGCCATCCACGCCTGGTAGCGAGCCGATGCGTTGCCCACGGAGGAGTCCAGGCTGGGCGTGGCCGCCGGCTGCGTGCAGTGCAGGTCCGAGAAAAACGCCAGCTCCTCGCAAGAAACACCGCCATGTTCAACCGAAGAATTGGGCCCTCCTCCACCTGCCAAGGGGAAATGCCGGAGGCGAAGGCATCCTCCGGGACCTCCGAAAGGCCATCTGAAAGCCGCAGGCCTCAGGCCGCTCAGGCCACTCAGGCCACCCAGGCCACTCAAACACCCTTGACACGCTTGACACCCTTTGAATTGACTAAAGATGACACTTCAATATTCATGACACGAAAACCCTTCAACAAGGTGATGAAATGAAAACCACACCAAAAGTCACAATGAGAAAGCCTCCAACATTCTCATGGACCTAATCGCACAAAGACTCCACTGTTCTGAAGAGTCAAGCTCGTATTAGTGGCAGCTTGACGGGATAAATCAATCGAACTCTGTGTGTCAGCCTCGCTTTGACATGGGAGGCTTGGAGAACGGCAGTTGCACGCCATCAATGGCCCAACCCAACATTAAATTGTAAAACGACAAAGGTAACGGCCTTGCCGCGAGGTACGTGCCCAACCTGGTCAGGATGAGCTGCCACTAGGTAAGAATTCTAGTCAGCTCAGTGCACGAGGGGGTTGAGACGCACCAAAACCAATCACTCTCCAAATAAATGCACCGGTGTCACAGTTGGGAACTCGTCCGGACTGTCTTGGGTCTGACTCCCAGCCAAGCCACGCAGGCCACTCAGCGTCTCCTGTGCCAGGACCAGCGGCAGGCTCAGCAGCAGCATGGCATGGCCGCAGGCACATTTTATGACCCCCTGACCTTGTCGGCACAACCAGTAGGAAGGGAGTGAGTTCATCCTCCAATCTGAAGGTATTAATTGCCTGAGGCAGCCGTCCATGTGGGCACGCACAGTATAAGCCCGTGCGACTAAAATGTGCCTCATTGTAATCATAGTGGGAATTGGGATCCTCCAGTCGTAAAATCAAGGCGAATGGAAACTCGTGCCATCTCTGCCAAACTCTTTGATCTGACCTGCAATACGAGCTGGTGCGAGTTGCCTGGCAACGATGTTGAACATGCAAACCCGAAATGCCTTGGCCACGTGTTTTGAAATTGTTTGTGCATTGGTGCCCGGCAAAAGGGCTGCACCCCAATCAAGGACAACGACTGCAGTGGTCGCAAATGATATATGTTTGCCAGAAAGCTTCTTGCTCGGGCAAGGAGCAAGATTCAGATATATTCAGATATAGAACGGGATGTGCTTAGCAATTACTTCTCCAAAAGGCCAAGTCAAGCCATGCTGCAATTGATTCACGCCTTTCTTCTAATTTCGCACGTCGAAGGCGATGAAGATGCCTTCCGTAAGCCCTCTACATAGACTCTACACATCTGAGGGGAACGAAGCAAAGCGCGCCCCTGGCGCGGTTGACCATTTCTCACAAAAAGAAGATGTGACCATCTACATAGCATGGCCAGCCTTGAAAGGCGGTGAAGGGGCCGCACAACATCTGCCAGGTCCCATTGGGGAGAGCAGAAAGAAACATGATTCCATGGTGGCAGGGAATGCTTCTTGTTCCGCGACTAGTGGCATCCCCGCAAACGCGCCTCACAGTTCAGCAAACACGTTATTTCTTCCCTGCCAGCACCATTAAAAGTTTAAAGCAAGAGCACATAAGAGCACGCTTGAAAGCACTGCCATTTCAAACCGAACGGGGTGGCTTCTGACTTGGGGCATTCACAGCTCCCAAGGTTGGATGCTTCCTTCGGAAGGCCAACCAGCCTTCAGCTAGGCCTCAGAGGCGCGCCAAAACGTGATCTCTCCAACTCCAATAACTAGAATTCAGGGAGCCAAAGACAACCAGGGGGCAAATGGCACTGGACTGCGTGCGTATTCCTGACATGCTGGAGTGCTGACCGAAATCCAGAACTGCGTCACCCTGAGGCCCAGGCCATTGCCAGTGGTAGCAAAATGGAAAAGATCCGCATGGTGGAGGAGCTGCTGATTTGGATACCTCCAAGCGAAGCGTTTTGGCTGTGAGTCCTTGGGCGTTGACTGAAAGGAGACCTGTCAAACAGCGTGGCGGAGCCTGAAGTGCAGCCCCACAAAGTCGCAAACAAGAGAAACAGCTGCACCCAAAACCAAAACCGCTGGCTTTCCCGACCTTCCAGACCCAGGTAAAAGACCCACGGGGGGGAGAGTGGGGTGTTTTCAGCGTGACCTAGAAGCGTCACAGGCCCAAAACAGTCCGGGCCTGCGTCCGTGGTGGCACCAACCTCAGAAGCAGGCAGTTGGACCAAGCTGAACGGTGACCATCACACACCCACATGTACACAAACACGTGCGCGCACACACACAGAGACATACACACAATCACAACCACATACACACAAACACACAAACACAAGAATTAACAAGCATACATACACCCGGACCCAAATGCACAACACTGCGGTGACTTCCAATCAAGCAAGCACTTGACAATACGTATATGGGCAGAGCTGCCCTGCTCAAGTGGATGCAAATGCCGAGCCGTCCCCAATGCCAAGGTGCCGCCGCATTGGACAGCGTGCTTGAACTAGTGCTTGTCTCGCCGCTCCTGTGGTCGAAACAGTTGAAATGCCCAATGCCGCATGCTAAATGATGATTTCTGCTGAGAGGATGGCATGACAAACGTGTTAGCATTCTCGGTCATTGCGCTCCTCAAAAGATAGTGCAAGGTGCTAAGGTGCCACCCAGAAATGGGAGACGAAACGTCGGGTTGTCGGAAACATCTGAGGCCGCAACATCGTGGCAGCGCAGCTGCCGCAAGAGAGGGGGCCTGGCTGGCAACGAGCCAGTCTTGCAAGTCGCTGCCCGGAACCCTTCCAAAAATCGAACTGAACGGCCAGCATATGTCCAGGACTGCACACACTTGCGATTTTGTGTTCAAACTCCCGCGCCGTGTGAACCCAGCGCACGCGCTGCCAACAAGCACCCCCCCCCCCCCACGCTCTGGTTTGGTTGGCTGTAGTGAGGTTGCGTGTGGATGGATATGATGCAGCTGGCTGTCAATAGGCTCGGCCCAAATGACGATTCACACATGGAAGCATTCACTGGACTGCTCTTGTTCACTAAGTCGGCTGTTGGGCATTTAGCGGTAGGCATGAACTGCTGAAAGCAGTCATGAGCACTGCACACTGGGCAAGAGAAGTCCTGGAGGGTTTGGCAAATCCAGTTCCTTTCAAAGGGACCCTCCCTAAGGTTCCATGCAGGTGGCAACAACATATTGCAGTTTTGATTAGCATGATCCAACAGTCTGTGATAGTTTGTGTATGTGTTGTTTGTTTGATCCCTGCTGACAGGAGGCAGTTCCGCAAGAGTTCCTCCTCACTGGTCGGATGGTAGCCTAATGTCACAGCCGAGCGAGTGAGAAGCTGTGCTTGGCTTGGTTCAAGGTGGTTTTGACACAAAAGGAGGGATCACTCAAAAGGGCAACCCTCATGAGACTCCCCTATGCTAGAAGATGTGCGAACCTTCTCTGAATATTCCCCTGCATCTGCATGAGCCTCTATGCCCGAGAGATGCCCCCTGGTGCACCCGCCATTGTGGCCAAAAAAGGGCGCCTCTGCCTGTCCGCAAAAAATGAAGCTCACTATTCACGACGTCATAACCTCACAAAAAACACACCCCAGCAAGGCACTTCAACACCATCCCACCCAAATGCAAAGCAAGCTGCCGTATTTCTCCTTACGACCGGAGAAGCATGGAGAAGTGCACACACACAAAAAGAGAGCAAGCCGCTCAAATGGAAGGCAAGCAACGATAGCGCCAATGGCAAAAAACAAACAGCAAATCTGCAGCCTGAGAGTCTGCTGCATCCTGGCACTTGTAGCCGCGCCTCAGACACTTGCAAGTAACTAAGTGGTGCCGGGCTGCAACTCCCAAAGCCCAAACAACAGCTCCAGTGTCTAAATTTACTGAGGCAAATAATAATGTTTACTCACCTGGGAAACAGCTGGGCCCCAATGCTTACTATGGCCTTCGAAACTCTTCATTAAAGCAGCTTATATGTCAATATGCATTAGTTGCAGCACAGGTGCCACTCTGCGCAGCTGTATCCTTAGCTGACAGTCCCTGCGGGCAACGTGTTGATTGGGCTGCTTGGTGTGTGCCGGATGTGCGGCCGCTGTATCTGTCAGAGCTACTCAGCACATGGCTGCAATCAATAGCGGCATCAAGCTAAACACCTGCGCACTTCACCAAAGCAGACCGGCCACGCTGAACTGCAGTCACGGGATTGCAAGACAAATCAATTGGTCCCATGGGGTGCTTCAAGCTGCCATGACGGTCGATCCAGTCCCAGTCGTCCGCGCAGTCCGTTCCTCAAAACGCGCGGGCTTCAAAATAAAGCTTTCATTGACCAGCACCTCAGAAAGGGGAGGTGATGACACAAACAGTTTGCGAAGGGGGTTCTTGGAGCCTCTCAGTAGTTTTGCCCTGAATGGCTCAAAGTCCGTTGCTTGCGCCAGAACCTCCCGACGTGAACAACGACCAGCGGACGCCTCTGACTAGCGCTGAGTTGGAGCAAACTGAGACAAAGGCGACAAATATTCGCATGGCTTGAGGTGGCACGGCATGCCGCCAGTGGGCAACTCAACAAGTGGTCAGAACACGACGACGGCCAAAACTCAACCCGACTCAGCCCTCCCGGTTCGAATTGAATGAACACCATTGGGCAAACGAGCAAACAAGTCGGCTTCGAGCAACGCCTGGCTTCTCCCGCATCAAAAGAACAAAGTCGACATGACACCCCAAGAGCCTGCTGACTCCTCATAGTCGACCGGCTGCACTCTAAGAAATGCATCAAACTCACTAGTCTTGTCAGGACTGTTGAAAGTACGGGATCGAAAACAGCGAGGCGTTGCCTGAGCTTCAGCTACAAACAATGCTAGACTTGCTCCCTAGGCTTCATGGAAAGGTCGCAAGCAAGGGACTTCTGTGGCCACGTTAGTCAAGCATCCGGCGCTGCAAACCGCACAACTTACCGGGCAGTTCCTGGTGAGATCCGCGCGCTGCTGAATGCCTCAGGGATTGAACGGGAACCGCGGGGCTGGCAGCTTGTGTGGTTACCCTCCTTGCATGTTTCACATATTTACCACATTTAGTCCTGCGATACTCTCAAAAACGGTTCACACACACACACAACCAAGCGATAAAAATTGCAAATAGAGATGCCAGGGGCGATTGGCTAGCTCATATGCGACCCCCCCCCCCACAGGCTGCCTGACTTTTCAACACGGCGGTTGCTGTGTGGGCAAGCTTACTCGTCAAGTTCGGGCCAACATCCATCTAACAAGGCAAAGAGCTCCCACACAATGTCTCTCTCTCTCTCTCTCCCTCTCTACTGCTATCCCGCACATGCATGCAGTCCAAGGCGCTGAATCCGTACTGCCCTGCCGTAGCACAATCTGTGCCTGTGTGGCTCACTCAGGGCTTGGCCACTTCAAAGTAATGGTACCGCATGTCTGGATGGAAATGGCCAGCCTCCACTTAACACCCCAGGTTTGGAGGGATAGTGTCGCGCATGAACATGCATGCGGCGGCCCCTGCAAAGCACACCAAACAAAGGAGCCAAAGATGTGGAACTTCGCCTACATCTGCAGCCCAAGCGAACATGCAGATTCCCTGCCCCGAGCCTTGCCAAGCGCTGCATGGCTGCCCTGGCAACACCATATTGGGAACCCACTGACGTTGCCACTTGTGGCAGGCAAGCACGCTGGATCCATCGGAACTTGACGTAGAAA